GGTTTAAATGAAAGCGTTTTATTTTAGCACTGTAGGTCGCCTCCCAGGCCGCCCCACAGCAGGCTTCGAGTGCGGATCAGCCCTAGTGAGGTAGCTGGGCCCGCGCTGACGCTTTCTTTATCAGTTGCGATGCAGATGAGGGGAAGATGCTCTTTGCAGGGGCAGCCAAAACGAGAAGTGATGAGGTTGCCGCCCCGCGCAGTTCGGGCAGTTGAGAGCCGGGGTCCCATAGACTGCCCTACTCTGCGTTTATACTAAAGTTTGTATAGTAAGATATCCTATCCTAAATCATATTCTAAAACACAGTAATACCTGTTGCACTCACCCTTCCTCGAGAAGTCGTCCGTTCAGGGGTTGCCAGTCATTCGGAAATTTGGTGGGGGTTAGCCAACACGGCTCTGGTGGCATCTGAGCGGCTCCAAAGTATCGATGTTTCGAACGACGCTAGATAGGGGTGGAGCTGGTCCCTCTCCGATGTTGCCACCGGTTAGAACCATGGTTCAGCAAAGTTCCAACCAAGGCCGCCACTTCAGGGAAGAGTGGCGGCCGAACTTGACTACGGCCTCGTGTCTGATCTTCTCGCTGCTGCTAGAGTTCTCGATACACCTTCACCTGCGCCTGAAGACGATTGCCAGCTTGACGTCTTCGGCGACACCACGGACGAGGAGCTTCACGACTTTTGGGCTCCCAATCGCCCACGTCGCTGCTAAACGATGTATCGTTGGCACCCAAGACGGCTGCCTTAGCACCTTGCTGCGTCGTGCTACTCTCTCCGGCTGTCTCCGTTCGCTTACCTTCTCTTCCGCCGTCGTCCGTTGCTGCTCCGCTGTCCCCAAGTAACTCAGACTCGGATGAGTTGGTTGCTGAGACTGTGATCTTGCCAGACTCGACTGTGCGTTCAGTTCCTCTGGTGTCGCCTGCGGAGTCTTCTGTTGTTGTTGCTGCTGCTACTGTTGTTGGGCGCCATGAGACTCCCCCCATGTTTGCGGACGCTGATCAAGACGAGTGGGAAGATCCCTACTCGGCTGTCAACTTGAAATTAGCGGCCCAAGATGATACTGAGCGCCCGCCCGTGGCTGATCCCCCAGAGTTCCACCCAATATCATATGCGGAGAACCTTTGCTACAAGGCCAATGCCCCGTTCGACCCAGATCAGGTCTGGCAAGTGCGTCTTCTCATCGATCGCTATGGTGAGCTACCACACGTTGCATTCTTGGTTGAATGGGAAACGGATGGTGTTCAGCTGGCATGGGAGTGGCCTGAGAACTTGAAGGGCGTCTACTGGTGTATGAACCAGGTGAACGCGTGCAAGCGTATCTCGTTTTACAAGAACTTCGATCGTTAACTTCCGCAGAGCTGGGTCATCGGAGACGAACTTGTGCTTTCTGCACTCGTTCCAAGCGGCTTGCTACGGGCTTGGGCAGGACGGCCTGGTTAACAGTGGACACTGGAACCGCTTCTGCCGTGCCCAGAAGAAGGGTTTCCCCAACGGCGGTCTCACGCGTGAGATTGACGCGTTCTTCAACTTCATTCGTGCTGAAGGAGTCCCGCTGGATTATCTTCAACTGTTCAAGAAGGTCCAGAAGTTCTCGATGACGACCGTGGCTGAGCTGGAACGCAAGGCACTCCAGTTTCCGGATGGCTGCTACATCGTCCATGCGGGTCAGCACTACGTCGAACACTGCTTCGCGCTTGTGGTTAATCATGACCCTGCGAAACAGGAGTTCCCGGTGATAACCTTCGACGATTACAACGAATCTGCAGCTCCGCCTTGTTCGTTGGAACCTGTCTGCTAGCTGGATTGGCTCAAGCGTGTCTACGCCGTCTATCGCATTGCTGCTGAGGTTCCCATGACGCCGAAAAAGTCGATGTCGAAGAAACAGCGATCGCGCAAGAAACTGAAGCTTTGCCGAAACTAGGACAGACATGAGCTTCAATACATGTAGGCCTTGATCCCCCTTTTCATTGTTTCTTGGTTCGTCTTCGCTGCTTCAAACGTCGTCAAGCTTCAAATGCTGCAACCAAATCAGGAACTTGGTTAAGGTTTTCCGCTGGTTCCCAGGTAGGTTCCTCTTCACCCACCCACTCCACAAGAAATTGCGTACGTTGCCGATGGCGACGCTTTC